CATTATACTCTATTGAATGTTTTGTCGTTAATAAGGTCTTTACGACCTCAATATCTATAGGGACATGTGCAGAGTATTTAGACCGCTCCATGTACACATTTTTAAAGTAAGTTATAAAAACTTCAACATAATATCACATCCTAATCTGACATGAACAAAAACTTTAACATAATATCACATCCTAATCTGACATGAACAAAAAATTTAACATAATATCACATACTGATCTGACATGAACAAAAAATTTAACATAATATCACATACTGATCTGACATGAACAAAAACTTTATAACATAATATCACATACTGATCTGACACGAACAAAAACTTTATAACATAATATCACATACTGATCTGACATGAACAAAAACTTTAACATAATATCACATACTGATCTGACATGAACAAAAACTTTATAACATAATATCACATACTGATCTGACACGAACAAAAACTTTATAACATAATATCACATACTGATCTGACATGAACAAAAACTTTATAACATAATATCACATACTGATCTGACATGAACCTTATAATAATCGATGATCATTATGGAATTACATGACATTTGAGTGAGATATTTATGTTTGCTTCCATGAAACTAATACATGATGTAAATTCGGTCATTGTGAATAAGTTTGATTCGGATGACTTGCAGATCACGTAAGAGAAGAGTGCCTAAGCTAATAATATTTTTAGTTAATATTTATGAAAGTTCTTGTGTTTTTAATAAACTTCCGAAAGATTTGTTGTGACATTGTCTGATTAACTGGATAATAGCCTATCGCACTGTAAGCTATCAACACGTGATTGCTTATCTGAAACAATTGATTCATCTTTTTTTTTTTCTATTTTAATGAAATATATTTTCTTAATATTCCAGATGGAGTGGAAGAAAACAATTTTGTTGTCTACTTTGTTGCTACAATACATCATCTTTGTCAAGTCTGAAAGCGGTAAGATATTGAATATCAATAATAAGAAACTAAAAGCCTTCTACAAGTCTGTTCAAATAAGTAGCCATAAGTATTATCTGAAGAAGTGTATTTACATATCTACATTTGTGTATCATTTCTGAACCAAAATCTATAAAGGGGCTTCCACATAAATACATCTAGAACGCAAATGATATGATAAATCAATGAATGCTATCAGACTTTTAACTTGCAAATGACTAGCATTTCCAGACTTCTTGATATACATATTTTCTAAATGATGATCCACATTAAAAAAATATATATTTCGATGAAGGACAACAGTATTTTCTGATTACTAGATTAACTGTACCTGAAATGGGATTGGACGTAGCCAATCTTTGTTACCTTGTTGGAATTTTGATCTGACGATCCATCATAGTTCGCGTTCCATTGCCACAAGATCGCGCTCAGAACCGCGTATGCGTTATAAGAGTGACAGTCAAATCTCAATATACGATTTAGTAGCCCAAGAGTTGTCGGCAGATGCTGTTGACTAGCTGCCTTCCCTCTAGTTTATCAATTCAAAATTAGGAATGGTTAGTGCTGATAAATCTCGTGTGGGTTTGTGCGAATATCTGAAACAAACAAACAAGTACTTGAAACGAGAAATACAACTTAAAACGTACAGAATTGTGTTCAACATTTTTATATAGCATGATACACTGGTTGGATTTGGCAATTTAACGTCATAGCTAATTAGACATTGTCGTTAAACCTCGATGTCAGGTAAGTATAGTACAGACCTTCGTGTAAGTTGCTGATACATATTACTCGAGGTGGAAAATCTCTACGGTTATAATCGTACGTCGTAAAACGCTGTTACACCTTTCTAATTTACGATTCAATTGCAACATCATACTGTATTTTATATATAAAATTTACAGTTTGCGGAATCAAAAATTATACTGATTTTACTGTTTCTATCTTTCTGCTATACTCATTTTTGTAAACAATAAATAAAGTTAAATGATGTTTTTTTAGGATATTTTCTGGATGTAGTTACTTGACAATAAAGCATTGTATAAAAAAATTACTACATTTCGTAAGTACAATTTCAAAAATTTGTAGTTTTAATTTATTGCAATAAAAATTACATCCAGTATTAGAAAAAATGAGAGTTATAATTTGTTCTCTGCCAGTGTTTCACCAATAAACTTTGTGTCCTTTTTAGCTCATGTTACTACTGAGGTGATGAATAGGTACTCGGCTTGTATGTATTACTTCATTATCATGATAACTGTCGCTTTTCCCCACTTTCTTATGGCTGTGTTGGGAGAGATACACACTGTTACTTGCAATTGAAATTTGAACAATACTTCTGGCGCTTCTCAGGATAAGAGAAAAGTGTAACAATATTCAGGAAATGAAGTTCAGAATATACTATATTAAAATAACTAACTATAATTGATCTTTCTAAACACACCCTACAGAAATCGGCTGAATGAGCTCGTCCATGGTATTATATTAACAAGGAAGAAACTTTATTCTTGAGCTAAGAATGTATAGAACCAATTCTTAGGTAACAACTCTGCATGACTTTTGACTAAAGCGGTATTCAAGGTTGAGGACCCACGCCTTCAGTGAGTGGATTGACCCTGTATCTTACATCCTGTTAAAAGCGGGTCAGTAGGTTCAGAAACATTCAATTAGACACGCCACGACGATTCTCAATGCTAGCCCTGATCCAAGTAGACATCAATTTGGGTCATTACTCCCTCAGCAGAAGCAAAGTCGGTAAACAAAACAGAAGACAGATAGCACCAGTACTAGGTTTCTTCACAACAGCTGCACCTTAAACTGTTTTTCTTTTTCTACTTCTTTGTACTAGTAAGAGAAGTATTTTAAAGTTTACAGCTGACGATATGGTTCAGGTATTATGCACTTGGATACTATAAGCTAACCAGTTGTGGCGGGTAATCTTTATTATGATTAGTGCTAACTTGGTAGCGTTTCAAAACATTATTGAGAAACAACGTTAGTGTTTCCACTTGACGTTGCAGAATAGATGAGTCTTGTTTCTTTTTTGTGTATTCTTTCTCGAGTTTCCTGCTTGAATTTATTTTTTATTATAGTTTTTTTTACTAAAAATCAACGTTACAGTAATAATATTTTGCTTCCACTTATTTCACACCAAAATTAAATATTTGAATAAAGTCAAACCAGACTGCAATTAGTTTCTTAAATGTATTATAAACACACACATACATATATATATATATATATACCTAACTTATTGACTTAGTTATTTTATTTTATTTTCAAGTATATATGTGTGTGTGTGTGTGCGTGCGTATATAATATTAAGTTATTATTCTGTTTCTACACAGATTTGGAGGAAAATGTAAAATCATTATCTGATTTACCAGGTTGGAACTGGGAAACTTCAAACCAAAAAACGCCAGTGGACAAAGAAGTGAGTGGGTTGGATTCTGAAGCAGAAGACAGAAACCAGAGCACTTTAATAGAACCATCCACCACACCTAGCGATTCCACCACACAAAAGCTTAGCAGTCCCTCTTTAGTAAATGACACTTTATTTCCGTTACTTGTCGAAAACTCGAACATCAATGAATCTTTTAGTAACGGTACAAGGAATACAGTCGGTAGAAGTGCACGTGTTCTTGATTTTGATGACTTACCCACAAACGATGGTAGTAAGCGGGAAGGAAGAATTCTCAATAACAAAAAGGGATTAAGTATCCAAGGTTTCATCCCTATTGTGTCTATTGGCGACGATGAGTTTACAGAAAAGAATTATGAAAAAAAATCTGAGTACCAGAGCTTTAATAATCCTTACCCCAGCGGTACAGATACTTACATTAATGTAAACACCCAGTCCGATAAGGGATCGTATGATTCTTCAATTCCTTCATACCAAGATTATAAAGAATCAACTAGATTTCCATTGAAAAACGGTTATCATTTAGGCCAAAAAGTTGAAACCTCCAGTTCTAAACCAAATCCATACCAAACAAATTATTTCTCAAGTCAGTCTAATTCTTTTTCGCCCCAATCTCAAGTCCCCTACGTTGATAATTCTTATCCACCAGTGCCCGTTTATCAATCCTCTGCAGATTATTCACCAAGTTCTAACGTAGAAGGATCAAGCTTTTTATCGTCCAAAAATACCTACCAATCTTCTTTACAGCATCCTTCAACTTCCATTGGACAACAAGGATATAAAAACCAAGCATCACAGTCCACTAAATATTCGCACTTGGATAATTCTGGATTTCAACTGAACAGCGATGAACGATACTCCATCAAAAATTATCCCAATATCAACCGACCTCCTAAGAGTATTGATGGCAGCCAAGAGAAATATAATGGTGCGGCGTCCGACTATGGAAAACAATCCCTTGCTAAACAGAACTGTGTTTGTGTACCATTTTATCTTTGTCGTAATGGTTATATAGCGAATTATGATGGAGCTCGTTCAGAAAACCAAGCACAACTTATTGATGAAAGAAGCAAATTTTCTGGTAAAAATTTAAATCTTACTGAGTTGGCTGCACCTGAGAAAGATTTTGAAAAAACCGAAGAAAAAAACAAAAAAAGAGCAGCAAGGTCTACAGTAAATGAGGTAAACGAAATAACTAGTCTCTTCCAGTAGCTTAATGTAAATATCTAAAGTATGTTTGTTTGCTTTAGAACGAACCGCGAAGAATCAGACCCCGGACTTTAGCTTTGTAAGTTCGTAAACTTATCGCTGTCCCACTAGTAGACGAAATATCTAAAGAAAAAAACAGTTTCTAGCATTAATATAAAACTTATTAAGACAGAAACAACGGTGGTGAATAAGCTTTAAGTTGAAGTTAATTTTCTGGTGCAGTGCATAATTTGAATGAAAATAATATTAATTTGGTATGTATGTTAGTTATGCCTAAATATAACATATAACATTTTATTTGTAAGCAAAATTACAAACTACACTGTTTTATTTTCTTTTAACTTAGACGTATACGCCTGCTTATGCTGACGATATCATGTCCCGTTTCGTTCCTTTCTTCAATCGAGATGGTTGTGGTCTGCTGAGGACTTGTTGTCAAGTCTTACCATCAGTTGTTCCAGGAAGCACCATTCCATCAATACACCAAGGAGCTCTTGGTTCACAGATTATCCAGCAGCAAATCGAATCCTATCCTGGTGGTGCTGTACAAGGTTATCCAGGTACTGGTCAGGGTTTCCTCGGACAAGGTCTTACTCAGCATGTTCCTCAAGGCAGTTTTGACCTCTCGTCCCTCTCTGGATTCGACGAATCACAGTTCCAAGCATTTCTTCAGGGTCAACAGATTCCTCCTGGAGCTCTAACTGGTGGTAGTTATCCAGGTTCCGTTTTACCACCAAACTCCCTGCCAGATAGCTCTAATATCCAGAATCGCCCCATTCCTAACTTGCCATCCATCGCTGTTCCAGGTGTCACCCACCCTCAAGGCTTACCGTTTCCTCCTGGTGGAAAACCTGGATATCAACTTCCTAATCCCATTGCCCCTCCTGGAACATATTCTACTTGTGGAAAGAGAAATGCTTTTGGTATCCAGGGTCGTGTCCAGAATCTGCAATATCACGATGACTCTGCAGAATTTGGAGAATTTCCCTGGCAGGTAATTTGTTTAGTTAAAGTAACTTATTGAAACAAACAAGACATTTCTCCTCGTACGAAATCCAACTGATAAACTGAGTCGAACTAAGAAAAACAAGGGAATACTGGACAAAGTGACTCTGTCGTATATTCTATGAGACTAAACAACAGTATAGTTAGAGTCTGCATTTTAAAACATAGAAATCATTAGAAAAGGCTAACAATAAAATAGATTAGGATAAAAATTTGAAATTAAATTTTTTTTCGCTAATCCGCCTATCACTTATTATATGTATTTTTAAGTGATCTAAGCAAACTCTATTTCAATAATTTGTAACATTTAAGAAGTATTGTAAACCTAATTTATGTATTATTCCCAAGTTATTGAAACATGTTGTTCACCACCAGGTGGCTATATTGAGAAAAATTGGACCCAAAGACAGCTTGTATGCATGTGGAGGCGCGTTGATAGATAGCAGATGGGTAGTTACCGCAGCCCACTGTCTTAAAAAGTAAGTTAATTAAGAAGAATGTAGAATGTATTTTTATGTTAACTATCATTTCAGGTAACACAAATACAATATTGATGTATTATGTGTTCTTTCGTGAAATCCTGGTAATAAAGTTATAAAAGTAATTTAAACCACAATGTTTCAGATAAGACCCATGTGTTGCTTCAAATAGTTATTTTCCAGCTACAAAAGCAGATTAAAGAATTTAACATTATTTCTTGAAGTTAAGAAGATACACCATCCAAACTGTACTTATTTATTCGGCTTAACAAACATGTATTTATAACCTACTAACATATTTTTACTGTTCCGTTCTAGCAAAACACATAAATTAATACTGGATATCCACCTTCAATATAAACTTCTATTTTCAAATTCGGGATCCTTGAAAATTCCCTAATCTCTGCCTTTATTTGATATATTTAAGCTTTGTCACAGGTTTAACATTTAATTGTTATGTTATAGGTTTCAGGCTGGTGATCTTAAAATACGACTTGGTGAATGGGATGTTAACAGAGACGATGAGTTTTATCCATACATAGAAAAATATATCTTAGAGGTTCACGTTCACCCTCGGTTTATCTCTGGAAACCTGAAAAACGACATTGCCTTGCTTTTGTTAGACGGTCCCGTGAACATAAACTCTCCTCACATCGCTCCAGCTTGTCTCCCAGATCTTCATGACCGTTTTGATGGCCAACGATGTTGGGTTAGTGGATGGGGAAAGGATGCTTTTGGTAAGAAATGATATGCATAGACACAAGTATACAAATGTCTTTTTTTCTTCCTTAGAGACTTTAAATCGTTTAGTGAAACAATTCACTCCAAAAACTATTTCATTGCATAACTTTAGGTATCGTTAAAACTATCTTTATGTTTGATTCCTTATACTGAGATTTTGGTTAATGTTAAAAAAGATAAATTGTAATAGAATGGCTTTACTGTTTGATTTATTTTATGAATTAGATGCTGCTCCTAAAATGTTAAACTACAACATTGTCGTTGTTGTTTTCAGGAAACAACGGAAAATATCAAAACGTGTTGAGAAAGGTTGATATGCCTATCATAGGATTCAAAGACTGTGAAGCAAGACTTCAACACACGAGACTTGGTCGTGCTTATCGACTTTATCCGGGATTCTTATGTGCTGGAGGAGAACCCGGCAAAGATGCTTGTGAGGTAAAAACTATAAATAAGTTTAAAAAAAAGGGTCATTACAAAATATAAGTTTAAACATAAAATAGCGACAGAAGAATGAATTACATGCATAACTCCATTCAACATGGAATATTTAAAATAAATTAGAACTAAAAAAGGGAAATGACTACTCGAAATAAATATGAAGAATTATATTTTTCTTAATATTGCCTTTAATGATATAGAATTTTGACAATTAATTATATATATATATATATATGTTTTTCTTTTCTTTTCAGGGTGATGGAGGGAGCCCTCTAGTGTGTGAAAATCAAAATGGATTGTGGAAAGTTGTTGGCTTGGTGTCATGGGGAATTGGATGTGGTCAACCTGGAGTACCTGGAATCTACGTTAATGTTGGTCATTACAGGCCTTGGATAGATAGTTTTATCAATCGTTATGGTTAAAGTTATTAGAAAACTAAGGTGACTTTATGGAACATTTCATTCTTACCATTAAATTAACACTTTTCATTAAACTGACTTTATAATTATAATAAACTGTTTTATAATTTCTATTGAAAACAAACTTTATACACTATGAAAATTACCCATTTACATACAAATACAAGTAATAAGTAATCATCTTTTAGTTTTTAACCATCACCTTTTAAAAAACTATATAGTATTTACTTCTTTGTTTTAATTCATTGACATTCTTGTTATTCTATTGTATTTTAAAGTGTATGTTTTTTAATTGTCTCGACTTTAAAAAAATCAGTTATGAATTTTTGCGATCTATGTTATTTGTATAGTGTACGTAAAACGAGTCTTTGCTAAAATACAAATGTGGTAGATCAATCACATCAATCTTCTTTTAAGACACTTGCATGTTTCTCAATACAAACAAAATTTACAATTATTTAGAAAAGCAATGTTGGTCTTATGGTCTAAATTACGATGTGGCTCTAGGGCTCATTTATAATATACTAGAATTATGCGTTAGTCTTAGGATAGTAATAAAAATAATATAAGAAATAATAAGTTTGCTGTTACCTTTAGCAATTCAATTAGGTCTACCAGTTGCTACGAAAGTCATAAATAGTTGTTATTATTTATATAAAACAAACTTAAAATGTGATTTTAATCAGATATTTTAGTCACGTCTATATATGAACCAGTCGGATTCAGTATGTTCATTTTTTTGGTCACCTCTTAACCCAATGTTCAAAGAAGGTTAACATTTTTGGTCACCTTTTAACCCAACGTTCGAAGAAGGTTAACGTTTTTGTTCACCTCTTAACTCAATGTTTGAAGAAGGTTAACGTTTTTGGGTACAGTGATTTGTGATTTATTTTTATCATTCCTGTAACGAATGATTGGTAGGCTCGTGGCTGGTCCAATAATACTGTCTTTGCAAAACATCTTTTTTCATTTATAAGTACGCACTATGTGCACAGTTATATAACATATCGCTGTTCATATATATTCCAGAAATATGTCAAATTATTTGCATATTTTAATCTATGTTTGACTTAGAATTTAAGACTATAAACGTATGCTTTTCGTGTGTTTTTCTTGTAACGACTTTATCTAAATTGAAAACATTTTGAGGCGAAGTGTGTCTTTTTGGCAATATTTTGGTAATCAATTTCTTTTAAGATTGTCTAAGAAATATGCCCTAGACAGTTACAGCCAATGCATAAAACTTGATGAGGTTTTGTGACATCTTTTATTCCTTCAGTATATATATGTTTTTTATTTATAGTTTTATTTATTGCTTGTCATGTAATGTTTCCTCAGAAATAAAATGTTTTTTGATATGAAAATGTATCTAAAAATCAATCGACTGTGTTTATAAGTAGTTTATTTAAAGAAATACACCAAAAATTACATTAACCTTTCCGACTACTTCAAAAAACTGTATTTGCATGTTTACATATAGCATTCACAATATTGGTAAGATCGTGTTCTATCTGACATTTTTTAGTCGTTGTGAGATGAATGTATTGTTAATGTCCGGTATAAATTCTTTCCGAGGAACTCAGCGATACAAGTCATTTCTTAATTAAAACTAGTTTATTCTTTCTTGATACAACTTTTAAATACACAGATTTTCCACAGTCACTTTAAATTTAACAATCTTTATAACACACGCTATAAATCACAGTGATCCACACACTTTACTTAAGGTGCCTACTGTTCGCTTGACACAGTTATCTATCTCTTCAATCTATCTGAATATATATCGCTGGCTTTCTTTGCCAGGTTTATATACTAAAAAAAAGAGGGCATATAGCAAACACTGGGACATTCGCGGGGTTCCTCGATAAGTCATGATCCTTCTAGAAACTCCAGCTTGCATGCTCCCAGCGTCGCGTGACTTCCGCTGTCGTAACAATATTTTTGAGGTATTAAAAGTGAAATAAAAATACATAAGTATCAGATTTAGTTCTGGTATGTTTACTTGTGTGAGGTCACGAAACTTGTAGCTCACTCAACACTGACTCTGTTACTGGATTTAATTAATGTAACATTACATTTTGCTTACACTAGTTCACTTTCCTTAACTCATAAAATGTTTAAGCCCTGGTAAACTTGAGGTCCCATAACACTAAAATTCGAGGTCCAATCCCTGCAGTGGGTATAGCGCAGATAGCATATTATGCAGCTATGAATTTACAATAAATATTTAGCATTTTATAGACATACCGAAATAAGAAGTTTAAGAGTAGACAGGAGGTGAGAAATAAACTTAAAAAAAAAAGTACAAACTATGAATTTTCCTAAATATTTTTATCCTTAAAACCTGGAAAAAAGAAAATGATTTATGATCCTGTATTTAAACTTCAGCTATTTTGATTCACTATTGCTCAGAAGAAGAGAAATATCTTAGTAACATGTTCCACCAAACAAAATCGGTAAATGCTGTGCTACAAAGAAACGAGTTGGCTTTTACATGAAAACTTCCATGGACACTCTACTGAGAGTAAAATTATTACATAAAAAGAGAAGATACAGATAAACTCCTTGTGTAATTTTATGATAGACGACTTATACAGGAGAACTACTTATTTTAAAATTTGTTTCCAAATACAGTGAAACCCCGATTTTACGCGCCCCGATTTAAAGCGAATTCGGATATAACGCGATGGGTCATTAACTCTTTCGACACGGGCTCGGTTCATGGGATCGGCCTCGTAACCATAACCTCATTATAGTTTACATACTAATAACTTTTAATACTTTAAGTGTATCTGTTGACTACGAATGCCCAACATATGAGCACTTGACGGACGCCAAGATCGTCCGTAACGTAACTATAGCACCGACGGAGGCAAGTGTACCGGTTCTCGAGCCACAAGAAGAGGATAATGAAGAGCCTCCATCACCACTACCAAAAGTGTCTGAAGCCATTGAACACCTCGAGGCTAGCCTCCGTTGGCTGAAGACTCAGGAGGTGGACCACATAAAAGTCCTCCAACTCAGAAGCATTCTAGATTTCGCTCGCAGCCAGAGACATGCTACGTTCAAGCAAGGAACACTCGATCAGTTTTTTAAGAAATAAACTGCAAATGATGATTGCTAATATTCTTGAATGCTTTTACTTGTTGTTTTATTTATCAAAAAGCCTACTAAAAATAATTTGTGTTTTAATTTCTACTGTAAAACAACGATTCATTCGCAACATTCTTTAATTCAGAAGTAATTTACTTGCCAGAAAGGGAACGTGTAAGAAAAACTGGTCAAAGAGGGCGAAAATAGAGGTGTTTTAGGATGTTAGTTCAACATTGGGTCAGTTTGAACAGTGATTTTCTTGAACCCCGATTTAGCGCGACCCCGCTTGTTTCGCGATTACATTTTATGGACCTCAGCGATTGCGTTATAACAGGGCTACACTGTTACAGATATTTTTGAAAATAAATACAAAGATCTCCTTATCAAGGAATAATATGTTTTATGTACCTTAACAAAGCATGAATAGGGCAATTCTTCTGCGTGGAAGACGCTAATAATATATTGATTTGCTTTTTCTGAAATACAGGTTAAACTTTATAATTTATGTTGATTGTTATTAAGAACAAAGCTATACGATGGGCTATCTGTAGTGTGCCCACAGAGGATATCGAAACCTGTTTTTTAGTGTTGACAATTTGCAGAATTACCGCTGAGCTGCTGGGGAGCACCCTCCACCGGTCTTTTTATTTCTCAGAGTACGCAATTTTAGCTGTATTGAAAAACAAACCTATATATATATATAAAGGCCTTGATGACTCTTATTTATGGACGAAAACCAGATCCAATAAAAGCTGGATGTATGATATTAACCTGATATAAATTCATTTCTTTAATGCATAATGCGACTCTGACTGGTTAGGCATAATCTGTTTGATCAGTAATTTGTGAAACATAACATCAAGACTGACATTAATTTTAAAGATTTAAATTAGTATCGAACAAATAAATAGTTTTTCTTTATTTGTTAAACTATTTTCTTAACCAAAACGTGAACTACAGTGAAGAAAAGATGACCTAAAAGACGCCTAATCTATCATTTTGTTCCTAAAGTATATTTGATTTTTGGAGTGAATATAGGACTTTACATTTAAACCAAACTCCTTTTTCTACTAAAATGACGCTTTAATTTTGCTTAAAACACCAATCTATTTTACGTATTGCTATGATTCTCAATAATTTTTGAGATCAGTGAAATTCGTAACTGGATAAAAATTGTATTGAGAAATTCAAATTAGGACGTTTATAATTCTGGTTTATTTTCTGTTATTAATAAAGCTTCTTTGTACCTCCTCCTTAAATAATTACTGTCAGTAGTTTAAATTTATAAACGCTGTTTTTCTTTTGACAGACCATGTTCGTCCAGAAAATGTTTTGTCAAGGATCTTCTATCTTTATCCTTTCCGTCACATGTTTGTTACTGTAGTTAAATTCGTCCACCTGTTTCTCGGATATTCTCTTTCTCCTTTTTTTTTGTCAAATTTCACATGTGCTAAGATAAATAGCATTTTTTCTTGGCGAGCACTCCAAGACCAACTTTTGAAAGCTATGCACTTTTCATTGAGTTTTTAGAACAAAGCCACATTGGGCTATCTGCTGGTCCACCGTGGGAAATCGAATCCAGGATTTTAGCACTGTAAGTCCGTAAACTTACCGCTGTCCCACCGGGGGATACTTTTCATTGGTGCACGATTATTTTTTGTAGATTAAAAGCTGGTTTTCTCTAATGTTTTTAAAGAGTCTTCATCCGTTTTTCGACAGTGTTTCTTGGCGATTGAGCTACTAAAGTATATATATCGTATATTATACGTGCTAATAAAGTAGATCCTAAATGCAATTTTAGTGCAGATACTTAGTTTTACTTCTATTCGTCTAAAATTATACACTCTGTTTCTGTTACGTTTTCAATTATCCAATGGTATTGCCAACTTAGCTGTCGATATAACCGTTCTTATTTAAAAATATTCCAAATTCTGCTCTTCTCTTGAGTTAGAAGATGGTAGT